GTTTGTTTGTTTTTTCACTTTTATTTTTTTAAATTAATTTATCTTTGAAAACACCATAAGACAAAGACATAACAATAGTACTTCATGTACATTATTAATGGCCCACTATAGGCACCCAGACCACTTCAGCTTAATTAAGTGGTCTGGGTGCCTGGTCCATCTAGGATTAACCCTTTCTGCTGTAAACATAGCAGTTTCAGAGAAACTGCTATGTTTACTTTAGGGTTAATCCAGCCTCTAGTGGCGGTCTCATTGACAGCTGCTAGAGGCGCTTCTCATTGTGATTTTCACAGTGAGAAGTCGCCAGCATCCATAGGAAAGCATGCTTTCCTATAAGACTGGCTGAATGCACGCGCATGTGCATTCAGGCGATGACGGCACAAGAGGAAGAAGAGTCCCCAGCGCCGAGGGAGCCTGGCTCTGGAAAAAAGGTAAGGGATTAACCCCTTCTTCCCCATTCAGCCTGGCGGGAGGGGGACCCTGAGGGTGGTCCCTATTTTTCTTCATGAGTAAAATAGTTTCATCTAATCTCCATTGGTGGCTAGTTTTATAAGCTAAGTTGTTCTTCATTGTAATATCAATTGAAGCATGATAAGTCCATGTAATAGGACCTATGTTTGAGTAGAGAAAGCTACCCAAGTTTGCTGAATCAAGACGAAATTGATTCTAGAGTAACTATTAAGGTAAAATATTTCTCGTTAGAGTGTTGTACCCTCCAAATGTCTAAAAAGATCATATGTAATTAAAATATTCAGGAGCCATTCATATCTTGTTTTATAGACTTTCAACCTTTTACATGATACATCTAACTTTCTTTTAAAAAAATATTCTTAATATATTTTTAACAATAATAACAAAATAAAATTTAGCACTACAATCAAACAGTGGCATATAAATGTATGTTTACATCCATTGACATGTCGTATAATATTGCAAGTCAAAATGAATATGTCAATAATACAAATATTTTAGAAAGATGATTGTCTTTGAGGTTGTTTATATTAAAAAAAAATAATAAAGTTAAAAAAAATTAAAACAAAGGTCTGGCCAGGTGGAAGTCAAGGAGCAACATTGTATTGATGTTGAATGTTCACTTCCCACACAGCCCAATCATTCTTTAGAAGAGATACATTATCAAAGGGTATGCAGAGTGCTAGCTCACAGTTCTTACTTTCAAAGACTGATTTAACCCCCTTGAGGACAAATGACATGCCATGATTCCCTTTTATTCCAGAAGTTTGGTCCTTAAGGGGTTAAAGGACCACTATAATGCCAGGAAAACAGTAGTTTTCCTGGCACTATAGTGCCCTGAGGGTGCCCCCACCCTCAGGGACCTCCTCCCGCCGGGCTGGATGGCAAGGAATGGGGTTAAACTTACCTTTTTTTCCCCCGCGTTGGGCGGGGAGCTCTCCTCCTCCGATCCTCCTCGGCTGAATGCGCATGCACGGCAGGAGCTGCACGTATATTCAGCCAGTCTCATAGGAAAGCATTCATAATGCTTTCCTATGGACGCTTGCGTCTTCTCACTGTGATTTTCACAGTGAGAAGCACGCAAACGCCTCTTGCGGCTGTCAATGAGACAGCCACTAGAGGCTGGATTACCCTTTTGCCCGGGGGCCCTGAGGGTTCTCAGTCCGCCCCTGCCTAGAGGGACCTGGCACCCAGACCACTTCATTAAGCTGAAGTGGTCTGGGTGCCTAGAGTGGTCCTTTAAGAACTTCGCTTATAGTTGGTATGGTAGTTCACAAACCGGACTTTACATAGGACACAAGGCCATGTGTTTAGACTGGAAGAAAGAACATTTCGTCTAAGGCAAAGGAAAGGTTTTTTTTACGGTAAGAACAATCAGGATGTGGAATTCTCTGCCTGAAGAAGTGGTTTTATCAGAGGCCACACAGATGTTCAAACGGCTACTAGATGCATACTTGCAAGAACAGAATATTCAAGGATATAATCTTTCAATGTAGTGTAATAACTGCTTAATCCAAGGATAAATCTGACTGCCATTTTGGGCTCAAGAAGGAATTTTCCTAGCTTGTTGCAAAATTGTGCTTCAAACTGGTTTTTTTTGCCTTTTTTGGCTCAACAGCAAAAAACAAATGTGAGGAAGGCTGAACTTGATGGACGCAAGTCTCTTTTCAGCTATAACTATGTAACTATGTAGTTGACTTTCAGTGTCAGGGGATTACAGAGGTGGCAGATATGGTTAGATTGCCTAACATAATAGTCTTATTTTTTGACAAGTAATCAAGGAATTTCTTAAATACACACAATTCCAGTGATAGGGGTAAATTATGGTTGATTATAGAAGTAACCAGTTGATGAACATCCTTCCAAAATTTGTCTTGTTTGGGACAGGGCCAAAAAAATATGGAGTGTGCCTTCCTGACCACATTCCCTCCAACATGCGTTAGTATTTTACAATTTTAGTTTAAACTGTCTGGATGGAGTTAAATACCATCTTTAAATTAATTTGAAATGCAATTCCAAATGATTAATACATCGTGTAATCCCTGTCAATGACATTAGAAAACCATGCCATTCCTCCCAATTCACTCTCCCACTTTGATATAGTTTATTTTAGGACCTGTCTCACCAGCCAAAAAAGCATAACACAAGGAGATGGTGTCTTTTCTGCCAGGATCTGAAAGATATCGTTTTTACAAATTTGATAAGTCAAATATTCTCAAATTCAGATTCTGGTCAGAAATCCCCAAATGCTCACTAATCAACGACACCATCTCCTCATGCATATAGGCATCAAAAATGGTTAACTTAAATTTGTGTTTCAATTGGTCAAAGGTCATAAAATGAGTACATAAAAATAGGTCATTAATATGTGTGATTGAATGTGAAGACCAATAATCCACATCCAGCTCAGATAATGAGGGTTGAAACACCGATAAGGCTACTGGACCAGATAGCAGAAGGACAAATATTCTTATATAGGATATCACATTATTTAACAGCCACTTTGGTGGATGGGTACATATCCTCCACCCGCGGTTGTCGAGAAGGGGGCAGCCATAAAATATCTTTAATAGAAACATAGAATGTGATGTCAGATAAGAACCATTCGACCCAGCTAGTCTGCCCAGTTTTTAGTCCCTGGCCTTATCTTATAGTAAGGATAGCCTTATGCCTATCCCACGCATGCTTAAACTCCTTTACTGTGTTAACCTCTACCACTTTAGCTGGAAGGCTATTCCATGCATCCACTACCCTCTCAGTAAAGTATTACTTCCTGATATTTTTAAACCGTTGCCCCTCTAATTTAAGACTATGTCCTCTTGCTGTGGTAGTTTTTCTTCTTTTAAATATATAGTCTCCTCCTTTACTGTGTTGATTCCCTTTAACAGAGTTAGGAGTAATCTTAGTTGCCTCCATCTCGAGCCACAGGGGGCGATCACAATCCAGAATGTACTTAAGTGCCATTGCCATATTTGTTGCATGAATGTAATGGACAAAGTTTGGCAAACCCATACCCACACACCCACTGAGCTTTTGTAGTATGTAGTTTAATTCTACATGGCTTTTTATTCCAAATAAATGTCAACAGGGCAGAATGGACCTATCTAAATAAATGGCATAGTAAGGAGAAAAAAAAATAAAAAAAAAATTCGCTCTAATGAAAAATATTTTGGGAAGGAGAGACATTTTAACCGAATTGATCCTACCTAACCAAGAAATGTCAATGCCACACCATCTTTCTAGGTCAGCCCTAAACTCAAGCCAGGCCTTAGCCTAGTTATAAGTATGCATCTTTGACAGGTTCTTGCATAAGTTGAAGCCCAAATAGGATATATAAGAATCTCTCCAGTCAAAGTCAAACCGTTCTTTCAAAATATCCAAGTCATGCCACGGAAGAGAAATCGACAGAGCCTGGAGTTTTGTTAGAGTTTAGTTTATAAAATTTAATTTCACTGAATTCTTGCAAGATAGACATTAGCAGATCAATAGAGGTCAAAGGATTCCTCAAAGAAAGCATGATGTCATCTGCAAATAGGCCCATTTTGTGTTCTTTATCTCCTACCACTATGCCCTCAAAATCAGTACACTGGCGTATCACTTCTGCCAGGGGCTCTATTGCCAACACAAATAAGTGTCGAAAACAGGTACCCCTGTCTAGTCCCATTAGACAAGAAGTCATCAGATACAAATCCAGTCGCTTATACTCTTGCAGTTGGATGACTGTACAGAGCAAACACAACCCTTGGCTATACTAAATCTCGACAAGACCTTCCTCAGGAACTCCCAATGAATTCTATCAAATGCCTTCTCTGCATCCAGAGAAAGGAGCGTGCGAGTCAATTTAATTTGATGAATCAAACTGATAAAACGCCTTGTACTATCCTGGGCCTGACGATTCACAACAAAACCCACCTAGTCATTATTAATTAGCAATGTTAGAATTTGAGCAAGTCTAGTAGCCAGTACTTTAGAATACATTTGTGTCACGATTAAGCAAGGAAATGTGATGAAAATTTGGACAAGCTTTGGGTGCTTTTCCAGGTTTGGGCAAAGTAATAATTTGGGCACTAAGGGCTTCCCTTGGCATCTCTACCGTATTCCAATAATGGTTAAATAGTTGAGTTAAATGGGGAGTAAGGATACCCGAGAAAGACTTCTAATAGGACATTGTGAAACCGTAAGGTCCCAGAGCCTTACTGGCAGGAATCACCTTAATAGCGTTTAAAATTTCACTTTCAGAAACAGGAGATCTTAGAGAGTGTTCAATTTATCAGCTGAAATTTTTTTTCAATGGGACCCTTTTAAAAAAAAAAAAAAAAAAAACTAACATTTTTTCAGATGTAGGCTGTACAGTAGTAGGGTCAATAGCCAAATTACATAACTTTCTAATAAGTGGCGAATGTCACGAACACACCCTACTATGAGTGGGTGTGACGTAGTTGTGGTGGTGAAAGGTTTAAAGTTCACTGTGTATGAAAGAAATTAATCTTTAATATAATAAAAGTGTAATTTTGCCATGACATCTTTGGGGGCATCCTTGGGTGCAGTATTAGGCTTAGGAAGCCTATGAATCCTGTCGATTGTTAAATCAAGTTCAGTAAACTTCAGTTTGACCGAATTATGCCTTTTAAGTAGTCTTAAATTTGGTTGGACTGTATCTGGAATGCCCCGAATTTGTAGGTTGTTCCTGCGACTTTGGTCTTCTAAGTCTGCGACTTTACAATTTGCAGCTTTTAGTTGTAACTCCATAGACAGAGTTCGGTCGATGAGATCTTCTTGCACATTCACCTGTGCCGTTAATTCAGACTATTCGGTCAGACCGAATGGATACATTTGAGATGTTTTTATTCATTATGGCGAGTTCCCGCCTCAGATCCGCCTTTGTGTCTTGACGTATTGATTGGTGGAGTTCCAAAATCCGAAACTCTGATTGTGGTGGGCCTGAGTGTTGTGAGTTTTGGTGGTGGATGGCTGATGGGGAGAAGGATTTCAATAGACATGACCGGAGGTGATGTAGGTCTGCTTTCAGGTAAATTAGGTGATTAATGTTTTTCTGTAGATTTTTTTTTTTTTTTTTTATAACATTTTTCCCTGATTTTATTTCTCTCCATTTATGTTTTTATAGACGTGTCAGCAAGTGTTCTTGATGGTTTAAATAATCTGGCAGTTGACAGTTGAACCAGTGATTGGGCCTCAGAGCCATCTGTGGTGTTAATATGATTTTCCATCTGATTGTGCAGGTGTAGATGCTTTTTCCATTTTTTTTTTTTGCTTCATGCATATTGGTAAGTAGTTTATATTTGGATTTTATTTTGTTTTTGTATAGTGTTAGGAGCTTAATATAGATAGTTTAAGCACTGTCACTGGATCTCTTTAAAAAAAAAATAAATAAAAAAAAATCATCCATTCAGCTTGATGGCAAGCCACACCTCCCATACATCTAACTTTGTAACCCAGTTTTCATTTAACACAGTATTCCAATACCCACCTATGAGAAGGATACCTTTTTAAATTTTGTCTATTTTGGTAAATACATGAAACAAAATTATAAATGCAACACTTTTGCCCTCATTTTTCATGAGCTGAACTCAAAGACCTCCACATCCAGCATCTTCACCTCCAAGATCGTCTGAGACCAGCCACCCGGACAACTGCTGCAACAGTCGGTTTGCATAGCCAAAGAATTTCTGCACAAACTGTCAGAAACCATCTCAGGGAAGCTCATTTGCATGCTCGTCGTCCTCATTGGGGTCTCGACCAGACTGCTCACTTTTGATGGCGTCTGGCACTTTGGAGAGGTGTTCTCTTCACGTATGAATCTGGGTTTTCACTGTACAGGGCAGATAGTGTGTATGGCGTCGTGTGGTTGAGTGGTTTGCTGATGTCAACGTTGTTGTTGAGTGGCCCGTGGTGGTGGGGTTATGGTATTGGCAGGCATATGTTATGGACAACAAACACAGTTGTATTTTATTGATGGCATTTTGAATGCACAGATACTGTGACGAGATCCTGAGGCCCTTGTTGTGCCATTCATCCACAACCATCACCTCATGTTGCAGCATGATAATGCACGGCCCCATATTGCAAGGATCTGTACACCATTCTTGGAAGATGAAAACATCCCAGTTCTTGCATGGCCAGCATACTCACCAGACATGTCACCCATTGAGCATGTTTGGGATGCTCTGGATCGGCGTATATGACAATGTGTTCCAGGTCCTGCCAATATCCAGCAACTTCGCACAGCCATTGAAGAGGAGTGGACCAACATTCTACAGGCCACAATCAACAACCTGATCAACTCTATGCGAAGGAAGGAGATGTGTTGCACTGCGTGAGGCAAATGGTGGTCACACCAGATACTGACTGGCTTTCGGACCCCCACACTCTCAATACAGTAAAACTGTACGTTTTAGAGTGGCCTTTTATTGTTACTAGCCTAAGGCACACCTGTGCAATAATCATGCTATCTAAACAGCATCTTGATATGCCACACCTGAGAGGTGGATGGATTATCTCGGCAAAGGAGAAGTGCTCACCAACACAGATTTAGACTGATCTGTGAACAATATTTGAGAGAAATAGGCCTTATGCGTACGTAGAAAGCCGTTGAGTTTGAGTTCAGCTCAAAAAAAAAAAAAAAAGGGGGGGCAAAAACAAAAGTGTAGCGTTTATAATTTTGTTCAGTGTATCTTTTCATAAAGTTTTTGTAAAAAAACTTTAGGGGCATATATTTACAAAGGTGTATAGCTTATCGTTTAATCTACAGTCTACTATCAAATATATGCTGTTAGGATCTCTATAGAAATTGATTAAAATTTATTTTGCCTCTGATTTGCACTTAAAACAACTGGAAATCTGTAAAATAATCTATTTTATCATCTACTAACTTCTTGTATAATAATCCTCTTTTCATTGGGGTTCTTAGACCCTGGGCATTTATGGATACTATTTTAATTGACATATTTAAATTTTTATATTTTCTGTTAAGTAACTGTCCCCAGAACTCAAACACAGTGTTCCCCTCTGACTCCCACAGGCGACCCCATTATAACCAACTTGCACAACATATATACACACATACCCAAAACAAAACACCCACATAAAAAACATATACAGAATACAATACTCCGCCAGTGACAGTAACCTATCGGGTGGTTTCTCTGAAATTCAAACATTCACATATTTCCGGATTCAGGGATATACAGTCACTGGTGGTGATAGTAGCTAGAGGTTTATATACAAAGTGCTACATTGTGATTTGACAATTTATATATATTTATCTTTCAACAAGAGTATACAATAACCAAGAGGAGTGGAATTAGATTAGAGCCTGGTCATTTATAATTAGATCTAATAGAACTTTAAAGGGTACGTTATTTCAGTATATGTTATGGACCTTAGATGTTGCTAGAGTAATAACTACATTTATTCTATTCTAACTCAGTTTCTCTATTATGTGGTTCAACCTGGTAGCTAAAGATAGGTCTGGAAAAACCAGAACCCCTTCAAAATTTCTCACTTTTCAAATCTGGTTTTATTGAAACAAATGAGAATAACAGATCTTTCATAGAATAATTAGTGACTCTAACCATCATCTCTCTCAGGCTGAAATCTTCTGAATTACCTGCTCTATATATTCTATGACATCTTTCCAGAGGGAAAGGAACCAGGATCTGGGGATCTATGTATTTCATAATATGTTTCTCAAGATTAGGTTGTTTTATCTTTCCGGAAATGCCTTTAAACCTCAGGTTTTTGCAATGGGATCTATCTTCCATTTCAATAACCGTATTCTCCATTTTTTAAAACTGGTTTGATAAAGTATTGTTCTGTAGTAGTGTGTGTGGAACTGCACTCATTCCCATAAATCTGAGCCAGGGTACTTGCTGAACCGGAATCAAACACCAGATTTCCAAAAATTGATAAAGTGGGGAAACCTCTTCCTAGACTTTTACAATTTCTCTATCTTGATCCTCAATTTTTTAATTCAAGGCAAACATTTCCCTGATCATTCCTGACATTCTGTCTAAGGTAATTTGTGATCTTTTCGGAAATGATCATCCATAAGATTAGTCAAACTTTGATGGTGTCAGGGCTTACCTGAGTTGGGAGTCCAGCAGGCAGAGATATATGCTCACCTTTGCAAGTAAACACAGGCTGAGGTGGTCAGGTAAGAATTCACCTGGCCTGTGAGTCGGTGCACGGGGGCTGTGCAGGATAATTCTCCAAGTCGCAGTACAGAAACAGATAAAGCAGGAGAATCATCGTGGGTAAGCCAGAGATCAGGATTAACGAGAAGAAAGCCGAGGTCAGAGGATGCCAGAAGTCAGGATATACGGAGTAACAAGCCAAGGTCAGGGATCAACAAGAGCACACTGGAACACAAACAGCAATATGGAACTAGAGTCAAGGAACTGACACTGCCTTCTGGGAGAGGAAGTGTTTTATACCTGGCTAATGAGACCATCATCTTCAGGTGTACCAAGAGTGAAAGGAGAAACTTCAATACATGTCCAGCCCCTAGTACTGGATACAAGACAGAGCTGGATACTGACATTGCTAAAGCTGAATGGTGGCTCAGAGGTAACATAGTAGCAACCGCACTGCAAAGTACCCAGGTTTAAATCTCCTACCAGGCACTCCTGGTGCAGCCTTGTTTGGCACTCCAGAAGTTTTTTTCCCCCTTCCCCTCTCTCATTTTTTTTTCTTTTTGTTTACATTTAGTTCTTCCTTCTTTTTTTTATAGGCACAGATAAATAATAATTAGCATAGGAAAAAAAAATAATAATCAAAAGACAATCAGTAGACCGGTAACTCAATCCAGGATTTGCACTTGTCTTTAGTGCTGTCTGACTATGGATTCAATTTGCAGATAGCCAGATATGAGTCAGTGGGTTTAAACTTTTGTTAGACTAGAGCAAAAACTGTGTAAAAAGGTATGTAATATCTTAGGCTTGGACAAGTGCTCCATTTCTGGCTCGTCCGTCTCTCTCAAGTATACGCGGCTGATCATAGGCGTGCGCAGCCTATTGCATTAGGGTTTGCACCGTAAAGCACAAGCACACGCCGCGTATATATATGTATGTATGTGTATATATGTGTATATATTGTGAGCGTAAAAGTGGAATTGTGGTTGATGGAAGATACATCAGGCCTGATTTGCTAAACAGCAACCTGAGAATTTTCAGTTAAATGCCCCAGGGAGAAAAAGCCAGCTAGGAGCGCGAACAACACTTGTGTTTATTGCAAAGCCATTTCTTTTTTTTGGAAAATTGGTAAGTGGGAAAGCCACCCAATTACAGAGAGTAATTTCTATCTAGTAAGAGCTCAAGTAAGAGCAATGGATTTTGTTTGTTTGTTATTATTTAAAGCACCTGCATTTTATCAAATAAAAAGGAAAACTGAGCTGAATGTGTCTTGGACTTTGTATACCCTAGAAGGCTGTGGTTACTGCAAGATCTGTGACAATCCTACCGGTAAAAGAGGTGGTTTGTTACATATGGTGGAGAATGCGGGCGAGCCACTACCTTCAGAAAATGACTGCATCAGATGATGTTGAGGCATACCTTCTGGCATTTGAACGCACTGCTGAGAGGGAAGGATGGCCGGCTGGTGAGTGGGTAAGCATACAGGCACCGTTCCTAAGTGGAGAGCCGCAGAAGGCATATTATGACCTAGAACCAGCCGATGCAAGTGACTACAGCAAATTGAAAGCTGAAATCTTGGCA